ATATGGCTGCTAGTGTATTATATATTTTAAATATTTTGAATTTAAGTTTTCTTTTAAAAAAATGTCATAGTCATGTATGTTGATTTGGGAAAGGAATGTTTCTTTCAGGAAAGGAGATATTTGAAAAAAATTCAGGGCACAGATTAATATTTTGGTAAGATTTGATAGCAACACTCTGAAGAATTTTCTATCTAAGTAAGTTAGTTTCTCTTTTAATAAGTGTGGCATTCTTTCAATGGAATATGTGGTTGAACTTATTTCTATGTATGACTGATGCATTTGATAAATTGTTATGTATAAGATCCTTTTTGTGTTTATAGAATCATTTTTTGAAATTTCTGCAAGTTTCTCCAATATATTGTAGGGAACAGTCGTGATGATCTACTTTATAAAGACCTGCTTTAGAATTATTCCATAGAAACATGTATATGTACAAAAGCTGAGTATTATCTACCATCTATTCAATTGTGAAAGCAGAAGAATGTATCATAGTTTTCTTCCAGGCTCCCAAGAAAATCAAATTACAGCATTAAATGAATGATAAGGATGTTGATATGCACTTAAACAAATCAATCAATCAACACACCTCATTCTGTAACCTACCTTGAGTGGCTCTTGTGTATTTTATTGAGTAAAATTAAAAAAAACTCCTAACTAAAAAATTCAAACCATTGTTTGATGGTTTTATTTGATTTTTTTTTTACAGCTTAACATTTCCAGGATATTTAAAGCCAGAGAATATTATTTATATTGTAAGATTTTTTTATTTTTTTTTATAATAATGATTTACTGATACAAATCCTACTAATTAACCCTTAGCTAGGGGGAGAAGTGGTGGATTCATTACTTTCCCAAGGTTATTTGCATGTAAGTGAATATAACAAAGCCGATTAGAGTTGGAAATTGGCACTCTTATTTATGATTCCAAGCTGTTAACCAGCATACCACTTGCACATCCAAGCTTACAATATCTGTTATTTCCAAGCAATCACCCATCTAAGTACTGACTAGGCTTGATCAATCTTAACTTTGCTGATCATATGAGAACCTTTGTTTCAACTAGATATGGTTGTAAGCCTTGATGGCTTGAAGAAGAGCATTGCAGTAAATTTAAAACAATGTCTCACCTTTCCAGCTTAGGTCACATTAACCATCAGCATCCCATTTGTTTTATCTGATCAGTTAAATGGAGTGCGCGTTTACATCAATGAATTAATGATTCCTTTTAAGCAAATATCAAATGGACACATTGAATTGAGCTAGATCAGTACAATGTTCTGCAAGAGTCATCTTATAAAACATGGTTGGACAATCAATGTATCTGTTATTGATGTTGCATGTCAAGGTTTTATTGCCAATTTGACTATCGTGTAACCTGATTCAACCCGGATTGACACATACTTAAAAAGGGGAAATATTTTAAAAGACTCCTAGAGCGGGCTGCATGGATTTGGTATTCCCACACTGTGGTGCCCTGGATTAATGGTAATGATGTGACACCGTTGACACTGCATCTGATCCCTGGGTCATCATTTACTGAACACTTTGTTGGAAGGACTGCTTCTGTTTTCCCAATAGTAGCTTTATGCAAATTTGTGTGTGTGTATAAAAAAATATAAAATATAGTAGCACAATGAAAAAAAAAATCTGAAGAAAAAAAAATGAATTCTCCATTTAATATTATTATATTTATTTATTGTGTGTGTGTGTGTGTGTGTGTATATAGAAGTTGAATATTTAAATTGCTAACAAGCATTAAATTAATTTCTTTATGGAGTTTTTTAAACATTTAAATTACTATCAAACGTTAAAATCTGTTTTTATCTAAATTTTCTAAAGCTATACCACCCCACTTCTTCCTCTGAAAACCCTAGGTACATCTCTTTTCTTCCCCATTTTTTCTTTTCTTTTTTTTTCTCCTTTTCTTTTCTCCATATCATTTCCATTGAGTTGACTGATTAAATAGGTCAATGTCTGATCCTTACGCCCTCCTTCCTCAATATTAAGTATTATAATAAAAAGAAATATAAAAATAAATTTTAAAACTCTCCCTTCCCTCTCTAAACTTGACCATGTCTCTCACACCGTCCCTCGCTACCTTCTATGTCAAATTATATAAGCTTAATACTGCCTGTCAAAAGTGTAAATTTTAATTTCATTTTTCGTTTCACCTTTTGAAAGTGATGTCTGAAGATCAAGGGAAAAATAAAAATCTCTGGTGAAATAAATTATTACAATGGAGCCTTAAAGTGGTCTGTTTTTCTTTAAATTAAATTATTCGCTCTGAATTAACATTGAGCTCTCAGGATTTCATCCTCCTTGGGATTATCTATACGGATTACCAAGATTTTCGTTACTTAACTATATATATATATATATATATATATATATATATATAAAAAAAGTTGTATCCTCTGTCTGTTCGTTATTGAATTCCTCCTAGGTTTTTGGAGATAGACCCCCCCCCCTAACCATATATATTCTGAAAGTACATTATTCAGGATACTGAAGTTTGTTTTTTTTCCTTTTCACATAAATTTAAATTTGAACAAGGAAATAACTCATAACCAAAATATAGATGGAGAAAGCCAGAAGATGGAGGTCACATCAGCAAGATCATTGGGTAATATTGAAATGCATCATTTTTCTCTGCAAATTATAACAATAATTTAAAATCAATCATTATTTTTTTACAAAAATGTGACACACAGCAAGGTTTGGGTAATTTGGCTAGTAGAATAATAATCTTCTTAGATATTATTATTCTGCTTGCCCTCCGTTTGTTAATTAGCTTCTGTTATATACCATGGATATGTCCCAATCCTCATAAATACGCTGGACACTGTTGTAAGTGGGACTAATATGCTGTCTAAGTAGTCCACCACTAGCAGTGGTTTACCTATTTCATGCAGCTGGCGAGTATTGTATTTTGTTGATGTTATCAAGATTACCATTTTCATTTCCAACTTCCATTTTGGTTATTGCTCATTCAGTAACTTTTTCTAGATTATAACACTTTCTTTCATTCTTTATTTATTTCTTTCCTTCTTTCTTTCTGTTATATACCATACCTCTGAACACTATTGAGTATGTCCTCATCCTCATAACTACGTTGGACACTATTGTAAGTGGAGGTAATATGCTGTTTAAGTAATCTACCAAAAACAGTGGTTTACCTACTTCATGCCGCTGGCGCGTATTGTATTTTGTTGATGTTATACATATTACTATTTTCATTTCCAACCTCCGTTTTGGTTATTCCTCATTCAGTAACTATTTTCTAGGTTGCAACAGTTTCTTAGTTTTCACGACTGTTATGCCCTACCAATACCTCATAAAGGAATGCTTGTAGTTTTCTTTCTATGGTTAGTCCTTTCTTCCTGCTTTCCTTCACTACCTTCTATAGGAGTTCTCATAGTTCTCTTTCTGTGTCTGCTATCAACATTGTATCATCTGCTTATCTACTGTTGTTAAGAATATGGCCACTAATAATGAACCCTGGTAATACTTTAAATACACTCCTGTATATTTGTCCTTGTTGATAAGTGCTACTATTTTCTTCTGTTTTAGTTAGTTTCATCTTAGCAAATACAAGGCAGATAAACGACTGGAAAAAGGAAAAAAAACAAAAAACTTAACAAGCGGAATCAAAAGCTCCTTAAGAGTTTTAGAAAACTCTGAATATTGTTCATGTGGTGTATGTTCTTACCTGGTGCATTGCCAAAGAAAATAGGGAAGTAAGTGGGGAGGAAATAGTTTGATTAAAAACTAAATATTTGGCCTCAAAATAAAATTGGCATTTCCGCATCATCTTAATCTCATCGCAGAACAAACATTTTTCAATCCAATATTCTTATTTGGCCTTGATTCAAACACTTTCTTTGCTATGTCTTTCCTTTCAGGCAAACTTATTGAGAATTCTAAAAAATCCTTTATCTTTGATGCGACATCATTGCCATTTCCGTAGAAGATGGTTTTGAGATATTTAATTTTTCTAATGGCCGTTATGCTTCATACGTTGTATACTGTCCTCCTTATTTATAATGTTGATTTTCTTTTGTCTTCTGGTTTCTGATTAATTTAATAACCATTGTTTCTAAGTAATTGAGCTGAAATTTTGCACCTGGCCACATCTGGCAAGATTTGAGTGAGGATTATTTTTTTTAATAAAAGCCAACTTCATTTGAAACATTTCTTTAAAAAAAAAATTCTATTTAAATTGCTGATAGAATATTGATGACCATTAATTAAGATTTCTTGAAAGTATTTTTAAAATATATTAACAAAAAAAAATATGAATTTTGAATGTGATTCTACAATTTGATTAAATCCGAATTTTTGTAGAATTTTTTAAAAATATTTATTCTTAAGAAAATTTTTAATGTTTAACCTCCTCTGCATTTCTGGTTATGAGATATGGCTTTGGAAACCAACAAATTTGTAGATTTTCAACTGCACAAGTGCATCATGTGTTAACACTGTTTATTGAAATGCAAAATACATGATCGCTGAAGTAATCCCTGTAGTAATGGGTACACTTGGAATACCGTAAAGAAATTTGGAAAAAGCACTTAGGGAAAATTGGAATTAAAACTAAGATTATAGACCTCCAGAATTCTCCAAAAAGTATTCAAAAGAGTTTTGTTGGCACCAAGCTTCAAGAACAGAATTTCCATTGACTACATCAGTGTGCAGCACCAACATAATAAAAGACTGATTTTGACAATAAATAACCAAATAAGGGTTGATATATCACATCGACTAACCATATCTTCCAGTTCTTAAATTGAGTTAATTGGTCACCTAGAATCAGCTGTTATCATTATTTACAGCCTGACTAATATCGTCATCTTTGTGATCATAATATGAAGACATTAGCACAATTGTAATTGTAATGTAATATTTTACATAGGACTTGTGCAGGGTCTAATTTAGTAATATTTCAATATTAAATGCAAAAGAGTTAGGAGATTATGTCAGGAAATTCAATAAATGGGACTTACAGCCATATCATGTTGAAACACTGGTTCCTATGTGATCACCAAAGTTAAGCAACACCAATCCTGGTCAGTAGCTAGCTGGGTGACCACTTGCAATTACCAGGTGTTGTAAGCTTGGATGTGTGGTGGATAAGGCTCAGAATGAATCCAAGAGCTGAGTTTTAATTCATGTTGGGTTCATTATGTTCACTCATGCACAAATACCCTTGGGAAAGTATGAATCTACTTTGTCTCCCCCAGCTTTGGGTTAATTAGTATGTCCTTTATCACTAGAACCAGATTTATCTCTACAAAATAAATAAAATAAAAATCGCATTCAAAATATTTAAATTTTGGCATTAAATAACTCATAGAGGTTGATATGCTGCTAAACAAAAACCAACAATAAATAGGAAGCTTTTTTTCTTTTTTTTTTTTTTTTTAACAAGTACACTCAGTTATTTATAAGTACCGTAATTCCCCATGTATAATATGCATTTTTTCTAAAAAAAAATAACAGGCAAAATTAGGGGTGCATATTATGCACAGCTACAAAAAAAAATCTTTAAAAAATTGCTGTTTCATAGGTCAATTTCTGTTGTGAAATGACTATTCATCAGAAACATATGACAATTTCATACTAACATTCAGCAATTGTTCCCCCATAAGGATGTCAAATACATTCATATGTACGTAACAATACTTACAAATGTAATATAAAATAAGAATTATCATAAATTAGAATAATATTATTCTATTTTTAAAACCATTTTTTTGTGACAAACTACATATAGATCTCGTAGATTGCACATTTTATTGAACAAAAACAGGTTAATGAGTCTGTGCAGTAGGTATAATATAGGTATTTCCATTTCCTTTTAGAATTGTGATGATTGGAAATTTTGATAAATATCTTCAATTACAGCTTGAATAAGAGTAGGAAATGCTGACCATAATGAAATTGGAGAGGTACAATTTATAGGGTTTGATTACCAAATAAGGGGTGCGTATTATGTGTGAGTAGAAGAATTTTCCTACACTTTCAGCACCATTTTAGAGATGTGTATTATGGATGAAGGCGTATTATACATGAGGAATTATGTTAAATCACTTATGAAAATCTGCTTAATGAAAACAATGTTTGAGTGAGAATTGTCATTATTCTCCAGTGAGATAATCTGGAGATGACTATTTCTCTGGTATTCCTTTCAATGCCAGAACAGAAATTCCTACACATACAATGTGTAAATACGAAAAAAAACAAAACAAAAATGCATTACATTAGTTCCTTGCTTGTATTTTTTTTACATATATAATTTTTTTTTTTTTTTTTTTTCAAGATTTCTAACTTTGCTGCTTGTCAGTTTTATGTAAAAGCACAATATATTTTTTATGCAATTTTCAAGTTCAAAGTGAACGGGAAGTTGTTAATGCATTTAAAGATGATGGAATATGTTGTTGATTGCTTCTTTCTGCACAGGTGACTTATATTAAACCTGTAACCAAAAGTAATAGAAGATACCATTCTTTTACTGTAAAACTTTCTTTTTTTGTGCTTCTTCTTCTTTTTCCAAAAATGGCCTTGCCTGTAAAGATTACTGAAAGTAAAGGAAATGTTTTGTGATCTTTTCCATGACTAAAAATTTCCGTCAGCAATACTATGTTTATATTTACATAGATAAAGGAGGAGTAAAAACAGAAACACACAAAGAAAATTAACAAAATAAAGCTCAATAGCTAAAAAAAGGGATTCAACTGAGTTTTGGCTATTTTTGCAAAACTACAGGACTTGTTAGTTTTATTGGCAGATCCATAAGTAATTAGATTGATATTGGTTTTACCCCAAAATTGGCAGTGAAAAATTTTAGATATAGAAGTGGCTAAAAAATTTAAAAAAAAAAAAGGTTCCTCTTTTATTTATCATTATTATCGTTGTTAATACGAGGTCTGATCAAAAAGTATTGGGAATGGTTCCATAAAAAGAAAACTACAGCACATATCAATTCGGCATTTAATCTCCTTCAAAGTAGTGCCCTTCTGAATCCGCACACTTTATTGAGCATCATTCCCACTGATGGAAGCATTCCTAGAACTTCTTTTTGGGGATAGTAAGTAGCTGCTTCATCACTTTCTCTTTGATTTTGTTGACATCCTAAAATCTTATTCCTTTCAATTGGGTTTAAATTTTGAAGGAGAAAAAGTCACAAGGGACAAGAACTTGGGAATTTTGTTGGACAACGAGAATATTGAGTTTGAGCTAGAACCGCTGCATGGAACCTCTGTGTTGAGATGACCACATTCCACACACTTTCCTTCCAAGCACTGCTATAAACAACAGAAGTTATGACTTAGTGTGTCTGCCTGACAAAGTTCAAGGTCAATCTGAGCCAAGCGGCTTTACTCTGAGTACTTTAGTTTCATTACCATAGCAACAGACCAAATACTTTTTGTTCAGATCTTACATTATTATATGAAGATATACATTCTGAAAAATTTTTCAGAATCTGTGATCTTTCAATGCTTAAAATGCATGAATTTAATTACATATGCAAACTACTAACATCCCATTTTAAAAAAAAAAAAAAAAAAAAGAAATGACAGTTCTACAAGATTTATACGCAATTATTTGATTAATTGCTCTTACAAACAAATCAATTAATGGAAAATTTGAAAATGAGCACAATCCCCATCATGTTTCATTCACATTCCCTTCATGTTGTCTGTGTTTCGTTCGTTTAGTCGCATTGATTACCAATGCATCTGTTTTTTCACTGGCAAGTGATGTTTGTACAAAGACTTGTGATTTTTATTACTTTTTTATACTTTTATGCAATTTTTAAATATAACTTGTTGAAGACAAATATACTTTTGAAATATTGTTAAACACTGTCTTTTCTTGTGTATTTCTTTTCTTAAATCGCGCTTTTCTCTGAGTGCCAGAAAATATTTGAAGAGCTAATGTCAATCACTTTGTTATTAATATAAACTTCATTACACTACAACGGGAGTTTTTCATTTATTTTACTTTCAATGTTTTTGACTTCAGTTTGCTCAGCAAAAGATGGCGTTTCTTTTTCTGTGGTGCTACAAGAATATACAAGATATATATTGGAATATAAACAACAAAAAAAGCAAAGTAAAAATCTCTTTATATATCTGAAGAATTTGATTCTTTGGATTGTATATTCCTTGCATCTTGTCAATGACAGGTGATATTCAGATGAATGTATTCCTTGATTAATAACATATAGCATTTAATAACCTGTCAATCATTTTCATTATTTTTTTTTTTCAAAGGACATTGTGACTATCAGCCTGGTAAGTGAGAAGGACAAGCTTAGTACAAATTCCAGAGGTCAATGTTGTTGCATTTACTTTCACCAAAAATTCACATGGGAAATATATGAATCAATGTCTCCCCAATATGGGTTAAAAAGCAAAGAAGACAGTTCCTCTCTAACCTTAGGTCACTACTGTCATCAGAGAGGGACAATTTTGAATTCCAAAAAGGCAATGAGAAAGCACTCCCCTATCTTTCCCAAGAAGTCATGGCAATTTACAGATTATGAATAAGAGACACCTGTAGAGAGGCATGATTGCCTACTTCCTGAGAAATATAGCATTAAAAAAAATGTCATTAACTTTGAATAGTTTTTATCTTATTTCTGCTGTTTTGTATTGAAATGTCTTGTATTGTTGCTAGGTTAAATAACTGGGTATGACGATATACTACATCTGGCAGTAAGACCTGTAATCGGGAGATTGGAGATTCTGAGGAGCATGGAACCACAGTTGCTGTTGTTTCCAGGTTCACCCTGACATGTGGTGGTAACACCTGTTTGGATCCCAGCTATGGGCAAATAGTGGACCCCCCCCCCAACAAATAAAATCACTGAAAGTATCAAAACACATTTTTATAACATAACCAACAGTACCTATTTATCGCAAAATGACCAGCAAAAGTTTTTTATCTGGAGTTGAAGGCATAAAATTGTTAAATATATTTAGATTTTGACATTAAATAACCTTCAGAGGTTGATATGTTGCCAAACAAAATCAACCATCCAATATGAAAGAACACTTTCATGACATTAAGCCTATAATTTCTTAAAGAAATCAAACTGTATTCCAAAATATAACTTCAACAAAACTATACCATAAAATGCACATGTCACTACCGCAAGTAATTAGTCTACACATACATGTATATGCACAAAACCTGAGTATCATCTACCATGTATTCAATTGTGAAAGCAGAATAACATAAAAGCTCCCCAAAAAATTTCAACATTAGATGACCCATAAAGAGTTGATATGCCATTAAATAAATAGATCAGATCAAATAACAGAGCAAACTGGATTCTCTTGCCATGGTTGGCAACCAGTTTAGGAGATGGAGAATTCTGAATTCAAAACTGTAATGACAGGTTGCCCCTTTGACAGCATCATAACAATCAAAAGCCACTCTTGCCAGAGTCAGTGTAGATATCAGTAAAACTGTGTTGGGTGTGGTCAATGGCAGACTCTAACAGATTAGATTTGTGGCAATGAAGTGCAAAGTTGTCTTGCAAAAAGATCCTTCGTACTGGACAATGGCCGAGACCTAATTATTCAGAGTTAGATGGAAATTGCAGGGACACACAGAGTAGTGCTTTGTGTCTCCACAACCCCTATGATGACACATGTAAATAGTGCCAGAAAACATATGGGTGCTATGGGGTGTGTTCTGACAGATAACATAGTTAATTTATTTTGTATTGAAAACCTCTCAGATTATTATTCTCTGACCATTCAGTTAGTAACATAGATTGGAAATGCAAAGAATAAGCTACCAGTGATATTTGAACACCTTGTTTCTTGTTCTTTGGAGCCTGCTTTACTGTGACAGTTCCATAATTGGTTTGGCCAGGAAGGCTTTCACTAGTAGGTAGAGTTCAAATAAAACCATATTCGTAAATTCCTTACTTTTCCAATAATCAACAAACAACATTGCTGTAGAATTTTTGAATAATAATTTGGTTAGTATTAAGAAAATGTTGATAATTGAGAAATACTGTCAAAATTTGAGTGCGTTTAACCAGATAATTCTTTCTTTCTTTCTTTCTTTTTTTTTCTTTCTTATTTGTGGGTTATA